GTGCCCTGAAACACTCTGGATTCCTGGATGCTGAGGTTTTATTGGTGCTTTGAGAATTAAGATGGGCCGACAGATGTTGGATTCAGCAATGTAAAGATGCAGGCTAACCTGGTTTTTCCGAACAAAGGCTAATGATGGCTAGTCATCAACCTGTGATGTCGTATGTGGATAGCTTAGCTGGTTAGAGCAAGGTGCTGATAATGCCAAAGGTTCAATCCCCATAAAGGACAGCTGCATATTCCTGCATTGCGGGGGATTGGACTAGAGGATCCTCAGGGTCCCTTCCAACTCTATTACTCTATTATTCAACTCATCGGGGAAGCCATCAGTCGGGCAAAGCCCGTGCAAGACAGGGAGAGGTCGGGCTCCTTTTCCAGCAGTGTGCAGTAGTGGACAGGGAAAGAAAAGGTTTAGGGTTTCAGCTTGGAGCCAGCAGAAGTCTTGGCAGGCTAGCTGGGACAAACCATTTTTCAAAGAGACCCACAGAAGCTGTTTAGCTGCCTTTGAAACCAATGTTGTCCTTCTGTAGAAAGCAAGCCCCTCTTGAGATGTAACTGCTGGAGACTCGGTAGACTCAGGTTGTACATGTGTGTAAATAAACCATATATCCTAAAGACACCACGGTCTCCACTGTGCCTCATTCCCGAAGGAAACACAAACTAAGCCCCGTTTGGAGATTGGGATGGCATCTCACAATGTGGAACTTTTCCAGCAATGACTGCTATGAAAATGAAATACAGTAGCAGGCTATGTATCAATACTGATCTGAGGCCATATCTGACAACCATCAAACCCCACATTGACCTGCTTGTTGGCAGAATGCAAGCTCAACCATCCAACTGATACTTGCCTAAAGGTACATTAATGTGAATAAAACTATTTGAAATATCCCTAGCTCATTATATATAGCACTGCTTGTGTAGCTGTATGTTTTTATAATTGATTTGTATAGATTATGAAGCAATATCCTGTAATCAGGTAATTGGTGTTCTTGCATTCCCATTAAAGAAAAAATGTGGATAAATTTGTAAATACTGTACAGTGGTGCCTCGCAAGACGAAATTAATCCGTTCCGCGAGTCTCTTCGTCTTGCGGTTTTTTCGTCTTGCGAAGCACGGCTATTAGCGGCTTAGCGGCTATTAGCGGCTTAGTGGCTATTAACGGCTTAGCGGCTTAGCGGCTTTAAGAAAAAGGAAACAAACTCGCAAGAACTCGCAAGACGTTTCGTCTTGCAAAGCAAGCCCATAGGGAAATTCATCTTGCGGAACGACTCAAAAAACGGAAAACCCTTTTGTCTAGCGAGTTTTTCGTCTTGCGAGGCATTCGTCTTGCGGGGCACCACTGTAAATATTTCAACCAATTTTACATTAACAGCAGTGTTAAGTAAATTTTTGCTTGAATGCCTCAAGTAATGATTATAAAATAGGCGAACTTTGCAATTGAATGCATGCAGCTGATTGCCAATGAATACTTATACTCCAAAACTAATGTGACAATAAATCAATGGGTCACCAAAGCAAGTAAATTTGGCCTTGTGGGTTGCCAAACCAAAAAGGCAAGGAACCACAACTTTAGAAAACTTGATCCTAAGCTGCTCAGGGTTTTAAAGGGAATGACTAACTCTTTGAATTGCACCTAGAGCTGGAAATGGGCCAGCAGAGCTGACCAAGACATTATGGTGCCTGAGGACAAGCAAATGGCTCCTTCTCCCAATCTACATATTTATTTATTTATTAAATTTATATACCACCCTTCATCCAATCATCATAGGGCAGTTTACAGTATAAAAACATAAATATTTGTAACATAATAACAAACAGAACAGTAGTCGTCGTCGTCGTCCCCCCCCCCGCAAAGTTTAAAAGGCCACCAAATGAAGGTGTGTAGTTCTTGAGGGTCAAGGCTGGTCAAATTTTTTCTGCCACCTGAGGCAAAATAAATAAATTCCCCAAGCACCTCCTTCCCTCCCTGGCTGTGAAAATGCAATGATAAATTTAACTTAACAATTTGCTGCCCTTTTGTGACACCCACATTCAGCTGCCTCTGCCTAAAGAAGCTGTTGGGCACCTAATGGTAGGGCTGGCCCTGTAGACCAGCAGATAGAGAATCATGTCAGAGTCCAGGGATCCATTTCTCTTAGACAACTGTGCCATCACTTTTATTAGCAAAGAGTCCATGCCCTGCTTCTTAAGTGTCTCACAAGCACTTTTTGTGTAGAGTACAGGAATTTTTAGAATGCCCTTTGGACATTTGCAACTCTCAGATTATTTCACAGGCCTAAAAAAACCGCTGCTGCCCATTAAATAACAAAGCAGGGTCTCTTCTCTGGGATGCTTGTAGCTCCATTTTGTGAGGAGGAGACAAGCAGCTGTTCTGCCCAAGCAAATCTGTGACTGATTTTGTTACAATTGCATATTTGCTCAGGAATGCATAACATAATAACCTCTGTCTTGTCCCATATATATTCTTTTCTAAACCAAAAACATTGTAACCTTTCCTCACAGGGGAAATCCTTCAGCCCCCTGATTCTGGTTACTTTTTTCTACAGCTGTTCCAGATCCTGACTTTTCCATTTACATCAACAATATGAACATATAGAAATGCATATTAATCATCCGTGTTCATAACCCTGTTCAGGCTACCACAGAAATTTCACATTACATGCAACATGGGGAAAGGGAAAACACAGACATAAGAAATCATGAGCTGACTTATCTGTAAATGACCTGTTGTATTGAGACAGGCTTCCCCAGGAACATAAATCAATCCCATTTCTCTGTCCATCAGTGTGTAACATGTGAAGTCCACAGATCGCACCCTAAGGCTAATGACCAGTCATAGATCTGGGTTGTGGGTGAGATCTGAGAGTGTCTTCTCATATGAACACACCACCCAGTGGCGGTGCTTCATGCTCCAGCACCGGGGGGGGGGGTGGAGAGCAGGTGGGGGCGGGGCTGGCGCATGTCCTGGGGTCGTGGCACGCCACCCGCAGGGGCGTGGCACCCAATGCGGGCGGGGGGGCAGCCGCGATGGTACCCCACCAGGATCGCGCTTCCAGGGGCAGTGCGCTCCCCCCGCACTTCTCTTCCTCTGCCAGTGACACCACCATTTGAAAACAGCTTCTAGGAGCATAGGAAGATGCCTTACACTGAGTTGCAGTGGCATAGTGGGGGGGGCAGAGGGGTGGTTGCCTTGGGTGCAGAATTGTTAGGGGTGCAAAATTTCAACACCTGGTGTTGCCTCAAGCCAGCTGTGTGCTTCTGATGCTAGGCTCCATTGAAAACGGCTTCACCATGTGAACCAGGAAGTAACCTCTCCAGATAAGGGAACAACTCCTCTTATCTCTGTGGCTGCAATGACATGAACACCATTAGTGCACTTGCGTACTGCATCAGTTTCCCTCCCTCTCACTCACCCAGACCCGGGCACTGGCAACCCATGCTACACCATTGGAGCATTGGGTCCATCTAGCTCAGTCATTTTTGCATTGACCATCAGTGGCAGTTCTGCAGGGTTTCAGGCAGAGGCCTCGCCCAGCCCTACCTCCTGGAGATGTTGGGGGTTGAACCCGGGACTTCCTGCGTGCAAAGCAGATGCTCTATCCCTGAGCTACAGCCCTTCCCCATCCTGAAGAACCTTGCACAAGGCCAAGCTACCCCCTGTTTGTAAGGCCAGTCCTGAACTCCATGCCTGGGGGTGATAAGCCAACTTCAGATTGCTTTATTTGTGTGGACCAGGGAATTCCCTACACACACACCCTTGCAGCATGGCCACTAGTCACATGCAGTTGTGTATCATTTTCCAGCTGGGTGGGGGGAAACCCATTCAGTTATTGGTTGGGAATCTGAACTGAAATGCAAGCATTAATATGCATTTGTACAATAGTGTAGCTCTTATCTTTTATTTCAGTTAACAAAATTTATATACTGCTTGTTTGTCAGAAAACCCTCTAAGCAGTTAACAAAAATATAAAACATCACAATTGTTGATTATAAAAACAAATAAAAACTGGTATCTATAACATTTCAGCGATGGTTAAAACCAACATTAGCTAAAAAGGAGGTAAAACACATGTAATTTCTACAAGTCTGGATAGGCGTGCCTGAACTAAAATGTTTTAAACGGATACAGAAAAGAATAATTCATTCATTCTTTCATTCATTCATTGGAAGATCACAGGACAGTTTACAATATAAAAACACAATTCTATACAGAACGATAACAAACAAAAACAATACCCGCCCCATCCAGAAGCCTGTCCTCAATGCCAGAGAGCTCCGCCCTGGAGCAAGAGAAGTAAAACCTGAAGACAATTGCCTCTGAGCATGTACAGAGTGCCACCGTAACAACAATCCGTTCCCAAAATCCGGGGCTAAGAATACGCAGCAGAGCGCGCGTCTTGCATGCAGCTTTAGAAAGGGAAGGGAAGACGGGGGCTTTGGGCTGAGAGACACCCCTCCTTCTCCCCTCTGCCGCTCTGGCTACAACGAAACTTGCAGCAGCCTCCTGATTTGGGGCGGGGGGTGTCACTGTCCCTTTAACCAGCCGCGGCCGCCAGGAAGCAACGCATGCGCAGGGCGAGTTTGGCTTCAGGGGTGGGTGGGATGGAGGGAGGGAGACCCAGCGGCGGCCGCCCCCCGGTGTCCCCCTCGGGCGCATGAGCGCCGCCACCACCAGGCCGGCTTTTATTTTATTTTTTTGCGCGAGCAGGTTCCGCAGACCGCGGCCCTTGCGCGCAGGAGGAGCAGCCACAGCCACAGCAGCAGCAGCAGCATCTGCCCCGCTGGCTCCTCCTCCTTGTCGTCCAGCGGGCAAAGAGAGCCGCTGCCTCAGAGCGGGCGGGCGGGCCTTTGTCCCTCCGGCTCAGCCGCACACACGGCTAGCGGGTCTGGCCGAGAGGAAGCGAGCGCGCGCGCGCGCCCCTTCCCCGGCTTCTCTCCCGCGCGCGCCCGCCTCGCCCCGCAGCCGCGCTCTTGGCATTGTGACAGGAGCTGAGCTCACCTGCCTCGCAGCCGGCCGGCTTTGGGCTGCGCCTCAGAAGGACCCCGCGAGGGTGAGGAAGAGGAGGAGGAGAAGCACCACCCCGCCTCCCTCTCCCTCCCTCCCTCTCTCCCCTTCTGCAGCCGGCAGAAGAGCGGCTCCTCTGCTCGCCTGCGCCTGACTCCCGTCGCCGCCGCCGCCGCCGCCTTTTGTTTGGCTTCTCTCAGCCGCCGGGCGCGCGGGCGGCGAGTCTCTCCGTTGGCTCCCTTGGGATGGTTTCGTGGACTTGCTGCTCTACCGGCTGGCGATGCCCTGCTAGGTGAGTGAGGCATTTCAGACTGAATAAGAATTAGGGACATTTTTTTTTTTAAGTATGCATTTCTCTCCTCCCCCCCCAAAAACCCCCAACCCCTAAATCCGCATCGTTGCTGCGCCCCTGCATGTGAACGGAGAGCGATTTCGTGCAATCGCTTCGGGGCTCCTCCGCCCTTCTGGTTGGCGGGCGGGCGGGCGAGTTTGGCCCTGGGCTCCGCTGGGCGCTGCGGGCTCCGGGCGTGAATGAGCCACACCCTCTTTGTCTCGTCTGTCTTCAAGGGCCTCGGCTCGCTAACTGCCATGTCTCCAGCAGCGGCCAGCTCGGGCCCCAGCAAGCGCCAGAGGCCCGGCGGCGCGGCGGCGCCCTAAGCGAGCGGGACGCCGAGCCGGTGGATGCGGCCGCCGGCATGTCGGGCGGCAGAGTGGGCGGCGGCGGCGGGAGCGGCGCGGCCGCGCATCGGAGGTCCGAGGCCAGCGAAGGGGTGGCGCAGAGAGACGAGGAGCAGGAAGAAGATGCGGAGGAAGATCTCCGAGATGGAGGAGTCCCTTTCTTCGTCAACCGAGGCGGGCTGCCCGTCAACGAGGCCACCTGGGAGAGGATGTGGAAGCACGTGGCGAAGATCCACCCCGAGGGAGAAAGGGTGGCCCTGAGGATCCGGGGAGCCAGTGACCTGCCCAAGGTGAGAGGGAGCTGTTTCGTGCAGGTGTGAGCTGAATCTCGGAGTTACAGGCTAGCGAATGAATGAAATAGGAAGATGGAGGGGGGAGGGGGAATCTGGGATTGAAACCCGGAGGTGAACTGCAGAGTGAGCATGCAAACTGCTGGGGTTCTGCCTTTGCATACCTGAGATGGTATCAACAGGTCTTTGATGTCTTTGTGTCGTCTACATTAGCGACTTCTTGTTTGTTAATGGAGTCTGGATCTTCCATAGCAGCACAAGGGAATGCAGAATTCTTGGAACAATCTTTGGGAATGCTGCCTGTTTTGACGAGGCGTGTGCTCAGATTGGCTCCAGAAGTGCCCTTTGTGTGCATGAGTGATTGAGGTAACTCAAGTAGCCTCTGATAGCACTATCCGGCTTTTGAACAAATTTGTTAAAATATTAATGCTGAAAGCATATGAGGTTGGGACCTGTGCTGGGGTAAAGTAACTGAATAACATGCACATCATCATCCAAGGCTGTAGAACTGACTTGCAAAAGGGCTACAGAATAGGCATACTGCAACTAGTTTGGGCTAGAAAAGGAACCGTTTTGAGGAAGAGACGGTATTAGGAAAAGTTTTGCCATAATTTTTATACTGGACGGATGAGGTTAGTATACTACTCTTGATACACTCTGTTACACCATTTGATTCCACTGGAGACATTGTGGTTTTTAAAGAGCAACATATAGATACTACATTTTGTTAAAGGGCAACGTACAAAATAGAAAAGCTTCAAATCTGTTGACCTGCAGCCATAAGACGTCAGATAATACGGCTTTTAGTGGGAAAAAGTTTATAGCCATTGCAACATTAAGCCGATCAAAGCTTTGGGATTTTGATAAACTGGGGGGATTATTATTATTTTTAAATGCTGTGGAGGAAGCCAGCTCCTTTCCAGTTGTGTTCAAGTACAGAGGAGAAAGAGTTATTGGTTGCTGTTTCCACCTGGGTTTTTAAAGGGCACAATCGCTTATTGGAGGTTATTTCTGCCCTTCCTTTTAACGAATAAAATATTAGTGAAACCTATGTGACTCTCCAAAGATTAAAGTATCAGTATACTGATATATATTGGGGGGAGTGGGGCTCAAGCATGATCTTTGAGGTAGTCCAGGACACCGAATGGGTTGGGTATTTCTCAGATGAATCTCCATGAAAGTGTGGAGCAGTGGCTACACGAGTTAAGCCCCAAAACATCATAAAACCCTCCCCAACAGGAGGTTCCCAGAGAAGGCGCTGTCAGCTTCCACACAAGAAATGCTTCAGAATGTATTGTAAAACGTACGACTACTTATAACCGTTCTAACCAAAAGGTGCTTTCAGAACACCAAGAGAGCAGTATGCCAACTGTATGAAGGCAGTTGTGTACACAGACCAGAAGATGCATCTGCACAAGGGAAGGCAGCAAATGTACTTTACAGCTGTATGTGTGTACATACCCACAGACTAAGGATTGCTCTTACTTGCTCTGTGCTGAAGGTGGCTCTGAAATGAACCAACGTAGGAAACCAAATTCCAGATCAGAGCAGCCATCTTATTATGTTGTGGCAAAAAATGACTAGTAGCCGTCAACATTTATCGTGGTCTGAGCTTGGTCAGTAGGGACGCGGGTGGCGCTGTGGGTAAAACCTCAGCGCCTAGGACTTGCCGATCGTCAGGTCGGCGGTTCGAATCCCCATGGCGGGGTGCGCTCCCGCTGCTCGGTCCCAGCGCCTGCCAACCTAGCAGTTTGAAAGCACCCCCGGGTGCAAGTAGATAAATAGGGACCGCTCACTGGCGGGAAGGTAAACGGCGTTTCCGTGTGCTGCGCTGGCTCGCCAGATGCAGCTTGTCACGCTGGCCACGTGACCCGGAAGTGAGATGGGCGCACAACCCCAGAGTCGGACACGACTGGCCTGTACGGGCAGGGGTACCTTTACCTTTACCTGAGCTTAGTCAAGGTGCCTGAAGTGATCTAGACACTAAATGTATAGGGAAGATTCAGGAAAAAGAGTTGCACAAGAGCTGTAGGTGCCAACCTGTATCAACTTTTAATGGAGGCAGACAAAATGTGAATGCCACAAACCTTAACAGTCTCAGTCCTTAGTCCAGTGAGCTTGGGCGATTGGGGTTTTTAATAGAATCCTGCAGTCCAAATCCTGAGGTGCAAAGAATGGGTTCAGGGTGGGCCGGACACCTCTAAGCACATGCTCAGCCCAGGAATTTGTGGCCAGTACGAGAATCTGGCACACAAGTTCTTTCACAAAAACATTCACCCCACCTCAAGCACACACACACACACACACACACACCCGCCAGAACAAGATTGGAGGTAGGAGAGCTTTCAGGGTGTTCCTAGTGTTAGACAATTGGCAGTCAGAAGCTCTTGCTGATCTACTGGAAACTGGGATGCTGATGAATTGCAACTGAAATAGAAACAGGAACAGAAATGGCCAAAGTTCACTTATTCACCCCATGTGCAAAGTAGAAATCAATCCAGTGAATACAATCAATATTCACTGCTGTGGTTTCTTTCAGTCCACCCACAATATGTATTGTGTTTCCTTTGCACTGAAATGAATGAGAAGCAATAACACAATGACAACATAACTTGAATAATTTACTGTGTAAATTATGTAGCAGTTTTGGGCAGAAGGCAAACTGCAGTGGAATGGAAACAGTGCTGCGTGCGACTGATATGGGGCAGGATGGGAAGCAATGCCTTTGTACATCCCTAACTGCCAGTCGCCTGGAGAGCTCCCCATACATCTTCAGCTACGTTCTCCACACCCTTGATCTAGGGAGATTCCTCAGTAGCATGTGATGGGATCCCTGTTGTGCACCCACAGTGGGGATACAGGGGTTTGCAATGGTAGCAAGCAGTTAAAGGTGCCAAAACCAGAAGGTTTGCCACATGGCTGCATTTTCAAGTAGCTTCCATGCTGAGTGGGACCTTGGCTGCTGTATGGCAGATGGTTAGCATGTTTGCCTCAGACAAAACAGCTGTTAATAGCAAGTGCAAGCAGTATTAAGTGGAGTCCACTCTACTTCTCCATTTCAAGAGTGCTGGCTTTCCATCTATCCTTGCTCTCCCCAGACTGCTGTCTCCCTTGGCTCACCCAACTCAGCCAGCTGGCATTGCAATGCACCAAATGCCCTCTATTCTTTCGTTCCCTTCCTTATGCTCTTTATTAAGGTTGGGTAGCTTTCCATAATTTATTTATTATAAAAAATCCAATACACAGTTCTCTGAGTGATGTGTAGAAAGTTTTTGGACAAGTTTTTAAAGAAGAAGAAGAACAAAATAGATAAAAGACCATTCAAATGCCACCATATCATCCATAATGAGCACAGAGAGCAAAATCTAATAGCAGCCACAGCCACTTGTATCAAGTGGTCTTGATCTCAGAAAGCTAAAAAAACCATCTCAGAAAGCTAAAAGCAGCCCAGCTGTAAAAGGCCAAAAAACCAAATAAATTGTTCAATGTAATTAATATTAAAATGTTCATTTAAAATGGGAGGGTGTTAAAAAGTTGTGGGAGAACAAAAAGTTGTGGTGTGCAGAAAGGCCAATTAAATAGGTGCCATAGAGGTGTTCCTCAGTTGGGATGAAGTAGGGTCATGGCTGCATCCATGGAGTAACTCTCTGTGCTTGAGCTTGAAGGAACGCTTTAACAAGGGGCCTCCATCTATTATATTAAGGTACAGAGAGGTCCATAAGGGGAGATTTGGGAATAAGGGTTATAGAAGAGCCAGAAGGACTTGTTTATTATGAAAGAAGTCAACAAAAGTGCATCTCAGAGTTAGTACTGGGCTATATTATGTACCACCTAAAACCACATTAAAGGTACATGATACTTTATCATTGTATATTATTGCTAAATGTTTCCCCTAGATGCTTTGTGATTTAATGCTAGAACACACTAGACCTGCCAAATCTCCACAGTTCCAAAGCATCTCTGTAATACTTTTTTCTGTAGACTTTATATCTGGATGAGATCCAGTCCCAAGTTCTCAGAGTCAAACATGGGTGGCTGGCAAGTCTCGTAGTTCAATGCGAGGAATTCACACTTAGATTTATGGTTTTGTCTGTATTGCAAAATGCAACGAGAGTATTTTGTGTGGGAGCGGTTGCCGCAAACTAACAATGGTGTTCACTGTCCTGCCTCTGAGGAAATATATATGCTTTGCAAAACTTCTACAATGTAGAATCTCCAGTAAAGCATTGTCTTTGTTGGGCCCCGTCTAAACTTCGACCACTTTAATGTTGCATTAGGTGCCCAGTTGGGGACGCGGGTGGCGCTATGGGTTAAACCACAGAGCCTAGGTCTTGCCGATTAGAAGGTCGGCAGTTCGAATCCCCGCGACAGGGTGAGCTCCCGTTGCTTGGTCCCTGCTCCTGCCAACCTAGCAGTTCAAAAGCACGTCAAAGTGCAAGTAGATAAATAGGTACCGCTCCGGTGGGAAGGTAAACGGCGTTTCCATGCACTGCTCTGGTTTGCCAGAAGCGGCTTAGTCATGCTGGCCACATGACCCGGAAGCTGTACGCCGGCTCCCTCAGCCAATAAAGCGAGATGAGTGCCACAACCCCAGAGTCGGTCACGACTGGACCTAATGGTCAGGGGTCCCTTTACCTTTACCTTAGGTGCCCGGTTATCTCTGTTGGTATCCTACAGTGAATTCACACTGCCCGTCCACATGGAGACCATCTTATTACATGCAAACTTTTCTGCTTCCTTTCAGATATTCCCCTGAATGTGATGAAACAATTCCTAAACATGTTAACTGGCTCAGGAATCAAACTTAAGAAGAACAGGCTTTCAATCCTTGAAAAAAATCCAAAATGTCTAAGACCAAACAGCCATGCATTTAAAGGGGGGAGGGGAGGACATCATGTGGACACCCCTACATTAAAGGGGAGAAAGGCAGGTGCAAATCCACATTTTTCTCTGATGTGGACAAGCACACTGTCTCTTCTTGGCTGTGTTGCTGACTTCACTAAGTAGCCATAAGCATGACACTCAGCTTTTCAAAGCTCTTCAGAAAGGGCTAGCAGCCACAGATTTATGTTTCCTTTTAGCAGTTGCTTGGATCAATTAAAGCTTTTGCTTGGACATATTTTGAGTGGAAAGCAGCAGGGCAGTGTCCCAACAAAGCATTAACACAGCTTATCAGTTAGCTCTGAGATAAAAGGGACAGATTACTGTCTCTCATTCTGCCCTCCCTCCCTTTCACTAAGTGAAGACTAGGATCCTGGATAAAGAGGAAACCTTAACCTGGTCTGGGCTCCAGGCCCAGGTTTGTGTAGAGTATACTGGATTCCTCATCAGTTTAATTGCTTAAGTGAAGGACTAGTTATAGGTATTAGGAGATTCTTCTGCACTTTTAAGTGGTTTCAGTTACACTGGGAATATTTCATATGCGAGGTAAAGCAGATGGGGAGAAGCAGCAACAGCAACTTCTGCTTCTTCCAGCAGAGAAGGAAGCAACTAAGAGTACTGTTTTTTAACATAGCTGCAATTTAGATAAGGCACAACTTCTGTATGGATTAGGTTGACTAGCAACTCTTCTAGTATTTGGAAGGTTGTGTGTGGAGGTTTGCTTGTTTTTAGGTTTTTGTGCCTCCACCATTCACTTGTTATCTGTAGCTTAGCTCCTTGGCTTAAGGAGTGTGTTGATTTAAAAAAAGAAAAAAATCTGGACTCTCCCAGGCAGTTCTCTCCTGTACAGCTCTTACGCCTTAAAAATGCCCAAGTGCCTGCACTGCATTTCTGGAAGCCCATCTAGCATTATCACTTTGCTTGGCAAGTACATTTCAGCTCTCCGTTTTCTCTTTCTCCGGTGCACACCCTTTCTGGAGAAACTAATAACTGCTAAATGTTGCACCCACCTGAAGTCATAGACCTTTAATGGCTCTGCCTAAGGACTGGTCTCTGTGCATTTAGCATGCTTAGCTTTCAGACCACAGCTCATCATCTTGAATAGTAACGAGCTCCACAGCACTAGGAGTGGCTGTAGGTGCTCTAATTCCAACCCCTCATTTTAATCACCTTCTGCTAAGAGTGGCTGCGTGATACTGATAGCTGGGACTCCTGCGCTGTTCCCTAAGAGATGTGAAATGTGTTCCTCATTCACAGGAATAACCTGTCCGTTTCACCTGCATCTACTTGCTGCTACTACTTACCATAGTTAATGCTGGCATAACACTCCTTAAGTCTGTGATGCACATTTTTTATTTCTGCTGCAACTGCTTTCCAAATCACTTTGTGGTATCCTCCCAGCTCATCCTGCATATCACAGCTCTTTCCTTTTTTGAGAATTTCTTGAAATAATCAGACTTCTCTTTTAGGTTATCTGAAAATGGAATAATTCTCTCTTGCTTTCTTGCTCTGCATTACTAACCTCAGGTGACCGGTAATAAAAATGAGCTATTTCGTGTGGTTCTGTGGAATGATGATTCAATGTGCCTTCGGTGCTGTGTCTGGGTGTGGGCTGTGTCTGTAAGTTGATGTCTGTTTGGTGATCTCATACCTTGCCTCCACCCTCCCCCTCTTATGCACAGATTCCCATACCAAGTGTGCCTACGCTCCAGCCGTCCACTCTTATCCCTGAGCGTCTGGAAGCTGTACAGCGTTATATCAGGGAGCTTCAGTATCCTTTTGACCTCTGCCACATTGCCAAGGAATGAAAAGGGAAGCCGGGCAAGTTCCCTGCTTTGACCACAAAAAAGAATTTCTGCCTGCTTGGCACTTTAGACCAACTGGGGAAAGAAGCCCAGTCCCCTCCCAAAGGAAACTGCTGTTTGTGGTTTTGCCATCTAAAACTAGCTTCCTTTTGTTTGTTCCCTTGGCATCTTAGCATCCTCTGCGTAAGCAAGATGAAGTTAATCCATTGCAGGCTTCTGGTATGAGAAATGCATTTTACTTGATGCCCATTGTGCAATCCAAAAGGAGGAACTCTGCATTTAATTCTTTGAGGAAGGTCAGGGACAGGAGATAATGTGCTGCTCTCCTCTGCCTAGCTTTGGTAAGGAAGAGGGATTTAACATGTTGCTGAAGGCTCTTGGCAATGCTAAAAGCCAACTGTGTAGGTGCCCATAACTGCAACTGGCACCAGTGGGACCTTTTCTGTGGCTGCATGGCCAGAGAGGGGGTGGAATTTCATTAGTATTGTGGCCAGAGGGAGAAGGGTTAAATTTCTCCATGCACAACTGCAGCCTGATGAAAATTGGTAGCTATGGACTTGCTATTAAATCATAAAAGCAACAGCCTTGGCATGGTTTCTAATTATGCATTTAGTATCACATCTAGTTTGTCCCAGAGCACCCAATTTCTCTTTTTGTTGTTTTTGTGCTGTTGATGCTTTGCTAGCTAGGAGTTTTGTGATTGTAGCAACTTTCTCCCCTTCAGCCACCTCTTCCAAGCTGTGTGGCCCTTAATTCCTTGTTCCCAGGTACAATCACACTGGGACACAGTTCTTTGAAATCAAGAAAAGCAGGCCTTTGACTGGGTAAGTACTATCACTCTGAAGTCATCCTTGTTGGATCTTACCTTCTCTGAAGACTCTACTGGGGCTGGCCAAAAGGCCCAAGCTGAGCTCTTTGTTGGCTGATGTCTCAATGACTTGCTTCCCAGGGGAGGCACAGCACAAAACCTGAACTCAAGTTGGATGCAGCTGCTTGGAGTTTTGACTTCTTGCCCAAACTACAGTACAAGAGCACAGTACTCTTCCAGATGCTGAGGTCCTGGAAAGTATGCATAATAGTCTGTAAAAGAGCAAGGTTCTGTCTTTATTTTCCGGATTTATAAGCCTTATACAGTCCATATACTTCCTGCTTCAGTATCCCTGAACTCCATGCAGCATAGTATCTCGGAACCTCTGTCATTAATTGATGTCTTGCTTATATAAAGACATTCAACTCATTTAATGAACACTGGAGCTGCACATTCCTGATTACGCGTGGCTTTTTGCAGACCTCCGTTCCACCTTGCACTTGTTCCTCCTACCTCGGGAATAACAAAAGAGGAACACCATGGGTTTGATCAAAATAGAAATTAATCCAAATATATGTGCAGGATGCAGTCTGGCTTGGAAGATGAATTGTCACTGAATTATTGAAGGGAAACTGTGTGTCATCAGCGAGGGAGAGGGTTGTGGTGAGGAACTGAGTCTGAATCAAGCAAAGGGTTTTCCTTCTGTCCTTGTGCGACCAGACCATTCTGTCCTCTCCCAGACCATTCTCTCTACCTATGTTCTGCTTGAGACTAACCCCCCCCCCCGTTAATTCTCTTGCTCCTCCTGTTGTCTTGTTCCATAGGCTGATGGATCTGGCCAAAGAAATGACAAAAGAGGCTCTGCCAATCAAGTGTCTGGAAGCTGTGATCCTGGGAATGTATCCTTTTCTCTCAGGAGAGTGTGTGCATATCAGTTCAAGCACAGTCATTTCAACAGGATGGCTTTAATACTGTAGCATTTGAAGCCCACCATGTCATGTCCTGTCAAACCAGCTAGCAAAATACATCTGGTATTACCAAGCATTCCATTTGGGGGAACAAATTCTTGCCATAATAAAAAAAAATATTTAGGAGGTGACAAAAGGCCGACATCAAGGAAGGGCATGGTGAGTTTCCTCAGGCAGGGAGTTCTCTTGTGTCTCAACCAAGAAGAACCAAATGAGCTTTGTACCAAATAGTCTTTTTGGTCCACTGATGCTTCAGGACTATGCCCAAGTGCATGACTGCCTGTAGATATCACTTAGGGGAGAAGGTCCCTCCAAAGCAGACAGGTCTGTTCAACTTGTATCTTCAGGTGAGATCAATGGGGTTTGCTATCTAGATCTACCTATCTTCGTAGTCCTAAGAGTTGGACATAATCAACCAAGGTGGTTAAGATATTGTTGGAGATGTGGGGAAGGGCCCTTACTATATTCTTCTTTCTGTTGTACCACCTGTTTCCTGAATGCTTCACCATTCACAGTTACCTCACCAACAACATGCCAACCCTGGAGCGTTTCCCCATCAGCTTCAAAACCTACTTCTCAGGGAACTACTTCCGCCATATTGTGCTGGGAGTGAACTTTGGGGGCCGCTACGGTGCCCTGGGCATTAGTCGGCGCGAGGATCTCATGTACAAAGCGCCCACCTTCCGCACGCTGAGCGAACTGATCTTTGATTATGAGGAGGCCTACCGGCGCTGTTGGCACACCCTAAAAAAGGTGAAGCTTGGCCAGTGTGTGTCCCATGACCCACATAGTGTGGAGCAGATTGAGTGGAAGCACTCCATCTTGGATGTGGAGAAGCTGGGCCGTGAGGACTTCCGCAAGGAGCTCGAGAGGCATTCCCGTGACATGAGGCTGAAGGTGAGAGGGTGGGAGATGCTCTTACCTTGCAAGTGCTTTATTAATGCTGAGTTCTGATTGCTGGGGTCAAGCCTTGAAGCCAAAAGCCCTCGGTTGAGTTTGTCTAGTTCAGGGGTAGCCAACATGGTTCCCTCCAGAGGTTGTTGGACAATTACTATCATGACCATTATAATCATTATTCATTAAATTTGTATACTGCTCTTCATCCGTAGATCTCAGGGCTGGTTCACAGCACAAAAATACAAGGTAAAAACGCAAAATGCATAATAAGAAAAAGAACAAACCAAACCAAACCAAACCAAACCAATAACCTCCTCTCCCCTCCTACAACAGCTCCAATCCTGCCTGACCATTGGCTATGCTGACAAGGTCTGATGGGATTTGTGGAGGACGCCGTGTTCGCTGTCCTTGAATCCTCTTACTTGGATGCCTGTTAATGAATTTTATATGCCATGCTTTAGGGCAAAGTCTTTAAGAATCTCTTGAGTGCTAGGCAGAAGTGGGCTAAGGAATGGAAAGGAGAGGAGAATTGTTTGCTTCTCCATTGATCCAGGTCTCAGATCTGTCTGTTTACTCCATTTTTATATTGTGTTTTTATTAACAAACTGATAGCCGCAGTATCTCGTTTATTCTGTAGATGTACCTAGGATTCCATCAGGCTGCAGCAGACAGAACCAGGGCTATTCTCTCAGCTCTGCTGAGAGAGCAGCTTGCTTTGGTTCCTCCTCTCCCTGAACTGTTTTATATTCCAGTTGGTCATTGCACAATAACTACTATATTTCTGTAAGAATTAGTGTGTAATTTGCTTTCCCGCCCCCCCCTTCCTATCTCCTTTTTGTGTGGTGTCTTTTTAGATTGTAAGCATCTGGGCAGAGACCAGTTTTACTCATCATACCTAAGCAACTCTGGGAGATTTTCTAGTGGAACAGCAAAATGCTTTAAATTCATAAGGTGTTGATGTGAGATGATGCAAGACAGCTCACACTGTAGTAAAATGCATGCAGAACCACCAAGAATTGGCACAGTAAAATGGCCAAGAATATGAGCTGGGCCATCCCTGACTAAAATCTCACTCCGCCATGCTCTGCAGCTATTCGGAAGCTGCGGAAGTCCCATTGGATGTTCGGCTTCCAAAAATAGTTCGCAAACCAGAACAGTCACTTCCGGGTTTGCGGCATTTGGGAGCCGAAACATTTGAGACCTAACCTGTTTGAAAACCAAGGCTCTCTCCATCCTGGTGCATTCCTCTTTTGGCCTATAGCTCCAATCGGCCCCAGCCAGCATGATCAATAGTCCTAGATGATGAGAGTTGTAGTCCCAAACATCTGGAGATTTGCAAGTTGAAGAAGGTTGATTAATGCAACATATTGGTTATGTGCTTTGAACATTTCAGAAGGAGCTATACATAGATGCTTAGTGTTAGCATTCTCCACCGTAACCTCCTTCTCCTTGCTCTTAATGTTTACTGCACTTGTTGGATGTGAATTTACATGGCTACTGTGGGAAGAACCTAATGGCTTCTACTGCTCATTGTCACTTTCCTCCTCCTAGATCAGCAAAGGAACAGGGCCACCATCGCCCACCAAGGATAGGAAGAAGGATGTGTCATCCCCACAGCGAAGCCAATCCAGTCCACATCGTCGCAATAGCCGGACAGAACGGCGGTGAGCGCAAAGGATGTTGATTCTATGTAGATGACCAATCCTGATGTGGGATTTTTGTCCCCATCTCTCTCCTCATTTATTCTTATTCATTTCACTTACGAATCACTTCCCCTGAGACATTCCACAGCAATTTGCAATATAATAAAAATGTATTTGAAACAGTTGCCTATATAAAAGCAGTTAAAGGATTTGCATATAGAAAAATGATTTATATGAAACAGCAATAGCATATACATACTATTAATTAAAATCCAATAGCTGTAACAATTTACTGTAGTTTAAGCATGCAAGCAAATCTGCAGTACACACTTTTTGAAACTTATAGCTGGTTGTGAGCTGAGGCACATGTCACAAAAATTTACTTGCATCTTTTGGGTGCATACAGCCTCTGATTGCTACTTCAGCAACACCTCGCTTTCCATCTGTTTGGATGTTGTGAAGTTGATCATAGCATCCACCAGCAACTTTGTTACGTTTATTTCTTTGCCATCTTTGAACTTTTAAGTGCAGCTCCTGAGTGGAGCCCTCAGTCCTACAGAGCAATTGTGCAGATGTTTATTTAGGCATAAGCCCAACTATGTTCAGCAGAGGTGTGGGGAATCTTTGGTCCTCCAGATGTCGCTGAACTACAGTTCCCACCATCCCTGGCTATTGGCCATGCTTGCTGGGGAGTTGTAGTCCAGCAACATCTGCAATGTCAAAGGATCCCCACTTCTTCCCTAGCAAGCATGTGTTAGGATGGCAGCTTCAGTGTCCCACAGGGTTGGAACAGACATCTGCACCTGCTTCTAAGTCAAGGAGGTCTTCTCTCCCTGATATGCATAGCAGAAAATAAATCCATGCCATCTGCAACCTCACCCACTCCCCTCTGGCTTGGCCAGATCACCTTGGGGAAGCTTAGCAAGAAGCTGGCACTACTTCCAGCCTTCCCCAAAGCTGCCGCCATCTCTCCCAAGGTCCCCCAAGGGTAAAGCGGATGGATAGTTGGGGACTGAAAATGTGGCTGGCCAAGCCAAGAGTTGGACCTCTGCCTGAACTTATTCTTTGAACATTCAGCATGTCCAGTTGGCTGAAAATCCCTCCCATCACTGTAGTAGCTGGGTGGGGCATTGAGAGGTGCATATTCAACCCTCTCTTTAACAGTTGGAAAAGGTTCTGCACAACGATACTCCATTTCACTTGTGCTCCTCCCTTTCCCCCTTTCTCTCCCCTACCCTTTAGACCATCTGGAGAGAAGAAGCCTACAGAGCCCAAAGCTATGCCGGATCTCAACGGTTACCAAATCAGAGTATAAAGAAGTCTTCTCACCATTCAAGGATTGCTTTCTGGACACTTGTTTGGACCGAGTCTGCCCACAAGGGGCGCAATGTGTGGGGAAAGGGGCACAGGGGGCATGAAGTGCTGGTTTCCTCCGAGGTATTTCCTGCAATGCTGAACCCCCCAGAGCACTATTCTGTGGGGTACAGGGCATTCTGGGAGTTTGCTTCTCTGACTTTTAAAGGGGTGATTTCCTCCCCCTTTATATATATATTTTGTAATCCAGCAGCTAAACAAACTGCACAAGCAGTGGACTCTGCCAGACAGTGTTGCAGTGTTGTACAGTATTGGTAAGAAAAGTCGTCTTTTTTGCTGAGTTGATGGCGAGACACTTGTGTCCGCCAGCCCAACGGGAACTGAACTTCTTTTAATCCCTTTAGAGAGGCATATTTTCCACCCTTTATTTCTGAAAGAATCAAGCTGGTATGAGGCCTCGGAGAAGTAGGGTCTGGAAACAAAAAGCTGAATCCTGTGGAAGAATTTTTGAATTTGTACCTTCTGAGAATTTTAATATTTTTATTGAGTTGGAGTGGGGAGAAAGCAAGCACCGTCTTTGCATATGCCCTGAAACCACCATCTTGTACTTCTGTTTCAAATGATGGAGTGCCTTGTATGATGAGAACAGCGCTCTCCTGCAGTTCCTGCAGCAAGGTGAAGCCGGCCAGTTTGATGTCCCAGGAAGTGAGCCTTCATAGCGGGCAGGTCAGGAGACATTTCTTGCATGCAGAAGCCAAATGAAGGATGGTAGCATCTTAACTGGCCTAACCGTGGCCCTCGGCCATTGTGATGCATTCAAGAGATTGGTTGGAGACCAGTTTTCCATCTCTTTACTTTCTGGTGCTATTCTGGTGTCTCGAGTGCATTGGCAGAGCATCATAGCCTTTCAAAGTGGGAGTGTGATGTGGATGCAAAGAGCAGATCCATATGACTTGACTCCATGAGTATTTCTCCCTTTTAAAGAAAAAAGGATGTGTTGCGCTCCCTCTCTTTTAACAACACAACCCTTGCTCGTTCTCTTTATCAAGGTGTTGATTTGTTGTCATTTAAAGATCACACACTGATTATTCTTAAGGTATACCCATAGCCTTTTTTTAATGCAGATAGTAACATATAACTGGGGTACCAGCCACATCACATCCTGTGGATCTATCACTGTTTGTGCCCTCTTTTCTGGTCCGTCCGTGTGCCCACCACCTCTGCCAATCATATTCTAGATAATGAAAAGTGTGGGGTTTTCCATGTCTGTCCTTGACTGAAGCCCTGTGTTGCCCTTCTGTCTGCCATATGTTTTTAGCGGAAAATTTGTGCCAGTGCACCTGTAAATCCTTTAAAAAAAACTTAAGCCACCTTGTTAATTAAATGTGGTAGCACGTCTCAGTGCTCCATCCATGTCCCTTTCTCAAAAAACATGGATGGATAGGTGGGCTGGTGGCTGTGGGTGCAGTCGGGACAATTTCAGCACTTAATTTAAGGGGGGGGGAATCTCTGCATCTGGAATGGTCATTGCAGATAGTGTGTATGCAGAAGACATGCCCTGGGATGATAAAGGATGATAAACTGAAATGTGGGGAGGACTAGTATGGCCACAACCTTAAAAGGAGCCTGCTCTGCAGACAGGGCTGAGATGTCCCTCCCAGGCAGCAAGTGAATCTGAGATGCTGCTGCGACAAATGATACTCGCTCGTCACTCATCCCTGTTGATTAGCTTATGGCCTCCTTGGGTTCAATTGGCTTTCAGAGCAGTGTGAACTCGGCAGTAGCTGAGAGAGGGGACAGTGCACAAAAGGGCTCATGTATTATGTAAGGGACGCAGCTTAAAGCAATGAAGGGAAACCTGATGCCCTCCAGATAGTCTTCTGACTCCCTCTATTCCTAGCCAGCATGGTCAATGGCCAGGGATAATGGGAGTTGCAGCCCAATAACATCTGGAGGGTTGCAAATTCCCCATCCCTGCTTCAAGAGTGCAAAGCACTTGCTCCACAGTATCATGTTTCCTAGTTCTCTTGTTCCATAGGATCTGTTCTGGCTGTGGATTTTCCATCATCTTTTCCAGGAAGTCTGATTGCCTTTTACCACTCTCCCACCCCACAACAGACAGTATTTTCCAGGTTTTTACTTAAAGAAAAACAACAACTCTTTTTACTTAACTGCCTTTCTGTAGCAGGATTGAGCTGGTCTTCCTCTTGACTAGTGAGCTGCTGCAAAGTAATTAAACATTTCAGAAGATGGTGTGCTGTGGGTGTCTCTAGCTATAGGGCCAGGGAGTGTTGTCTGTGATCAGTATTTTATTTGTGAGTTGTGGACGGAGGAAGAGGCAATAAGGTGTGGGGCTGTAGGCCCAAAGAGGAGGTGAGATCTACAGTATGTTAACCTAATTGGGGTGTGGGGGGTGTGGGAGTTCACACGTGGAATATTTAACATGTCTTACTACAATACAGAATGTGTACAGACACTTATGAGCCAAATGCAAACATATCATGTTAGAAAATGTTCACAGATTTAAAAAATAACAACTCTTTTGGAGCATTGTTTAAGGAACCATCCAACATGCTTGTTGCCTGTCTCCTTTTGTGTCTCTACAATTAAGAAGAAAAAGATTTTAAATATGACTGGATCATATTTATATTTAAAGATGGATGTTCTTTTTGTAGTTCACATCGAGCCTAATTTTAGGTAATAAATAGTGAAATTCTACTGAAAACGAAGCCCGTATTAATCCATTAGCAATTGCCTGTGTTGAAATGTCTGAAACATCTTCCTCTTTAGAATAGTGGGTCCTCTCATCAAAGTCCTCCAACTATCCCTTGTTTTTTTCTTTCCTAGCTTGTTAGCTGCCAAGTTTATCTGCATCATGAAAGGGGGGGGGAGGGATCACATTCATTACTGGGGCCATGAACCTTTGGTGGCTGAGAGATGAGCCTTAATGTTTAGTCATCCTCCAGAGCTGGAGAAGTTGAGCCAAGTTTCAAGATTAGATGTAAAGGAGGTTGGCATCCATCATGTGGTCCTTGAGGTGAACTGATAGTGATCTATCTGCAGGAAGACCCTTATAAAGAAGCAGTCTAAGTTTGGTGGGTTGCATTGTTCATGAAACTTGCAACTAATGAGAAAGTAAACATTACCCACAATTGGAACAAGTGTTCTTTTGCCATGTAGCAGTCTCTGCCTGTTTTTGTTTTCTTAAAAAAATAATTAAAAGACTGGCTGTAAACAGAGAGAATTCTTTAGTTGGCAAGCTGGAACAGACTCTGAGGAAAGCTGCAACCAGCAATTCAGCTGTGGCAGAAGTGAGAACTGGGTATATTTGCAACAAAAAGGCACAAGGGGAAAACAGTTTTAGTGATCTTGAGAGGAGGAAGCTGTTTGCTGTTTCTGCTGAGCTTTATAATTACAGCAAAGGGGGCTGTGACAGAAGGTTAGGAAAGAACTCCTCAATTGTCATCAAACTCATGGGTGCGAGTGTTTTGAACCAGGATGTCAAATTTGTCAGAATGACCAGTTCTAGTGCTTTGGTAAAAGAACGGTATTGACTTATAGCAGTTGAGCCTGCCAGGTCTCCCTGCCTTTACAGACGTTGGACGGACATCGCAGCAAGGAGATGTCTTGCCCACACCCAAGCAAACATTCATGCCTTCTTTCTACACAGAGCAGCATACGTCACTCTGGCCAGGACTTCCCATCACTCCACCTGCCCAGATGAGGACATAGGTGGCAAATGCCCAAGTCTTACAGATAGTTCCCCTTTCTGGGCTCAGAGCCCACCACCCCAAGCTCACAGATAAGGGTAGCATCAAAGCAAGCCAATTAGCCTATATCAAAGCAAGTGATTATAAATATATATGAGCTCAGGGTTACAACTACCAATTAATTGTGGGGTTACCTTGCTCCCCAGTTCAGGGGAACAACAGGTTGACTTAAAGCAGTTCTCATCAAACTCTACCTGGAGGAAACCCAAGGCACCTGTTGGAGAACCTCTGCATGTTTCAGGCACCCTGGAGCAGGTCTGGAACCAGTTTGTATGACTGAGAAGCTGCTGTTCCCCTTGATGAACAGAGCCTGTGCCCCCAAACAAGCACCACCAAGCTGCCTATTGCAGAATATGATGCATAGTGGAAGGAAAGCTTGTTTGCTATTTCTGATTTCTACACTGGGGAACCTTTGCCTAACCTTTGGACTCCTGGCATCACTGCATCAAAAACAACTGCCTTTGAAGGATGGCCAGTAAACAGAAATCACTGCATATCTCTTGTGAACCAAGCCTATGTGTCTACACTTGTCTTCTGCTTGTGGAATGCTCTCCCCAGGAAGGCCCTTATTACATATCTTTAGGCACCAGGCAAAAAAAGTTAATATTCCCCAGGCCTTTGGATAATTCTAATCGATGGCCTTTTAAACTATGTTTTGTTTGTTTGTTACAATGGTAATTTTGAATTTTTATATTATAAACTACCCTGTGATCCTTGGATGAAGGGCGGTATAGGTAATTAATTAATTAATACTAAATAATAAACTTTCCTGCTCTAAGATGTATGAAATGCACTTGTGATTTAGTGCCTTGTTAATTGACTGCTGTTCCTGCCCTTTTAACAGGCCAGAAAGTCATCTACGCTGGGCTCCTTGGGGAATCCTAAAACGAAGCATGATCTCAGTAGCAGATGTCCTGCATCTCACCAAACCACTCTTCCCACTTGACATGGTGTGCTGGCCACCTGCTTCAGACAACTGTGACTCCCTGTAAGCTGAGCAGAGCCTGGTGTGTCAGAAATAAGATGATGTTCATGGCACCTTGGGGGTTTGCTTTGACACAATCAGTATGACTTACCCGGTTTTAGCAGCTAGGTTTTGTTTTCAGAGCTGTTGTCATAACAGCGCATAACTGAAGCAGATGGTTTGCTTTCTTCTGTGACTATTGTGTGCGCTTGGTATGGAAAACTAACACCATTTGTTGGATCTTAAGCAGATAACACAGACCCTCCTTAGGTCTTGCCTCTCAGTTCTGGTATTTCTTCCCAAAGTTATTTTCTCCACCATTTGCACCGTGTAAGGGAATAAAAACAGCATAAATCTCTCCCATCTCATATTTAAAGCACATAGCTTCCCTGCAGAATCCTGGCAATTTCCGCTTAAGCCTTATGGAGCTACACCTCCCAGTCCCCTTTACAAATTCCAGGACTCTGTGGCGGAAGCTATGTGCTTTAAATATAAGCTGTGGGTGTGGCCTTGCAGGTAGTGATGGCCACCTATAAGGATGACGTTAAGAGAGGAATGGACAAAATCATGGGAGGATAAGGCTATCCATGATGGCTATGCCAACAGAGGCAGTATGCTAGGAATTGCAGGAGAGGAGCGTACTCTTGTGCACAAAAGCTGCCTGCAGGTTTCCCCCAGGCCACTGTGAGAGCAGGATGCTGGAGCAGATGGGCCATTGGCCTGATCCAGTAGGTTCTTCCTATGTTCATCGTTCAATGGTGCTGCAAGGTGTTTATCATGAAAGGTAAACTAGGCTCTGCTTTCTGTGGGCCCATTCTACCCAACTGCCAATAGAAAATTGTACTTCTGGGCTAATCAGCATGATAGGGATACTATAGCCAGGTGGTGTATTAAATCAGAAGGCTGGCAACCATGAGGACTCCCTGGTCAAAGGAATTTTCTTTATTTCAGTAATCAACATTGCTGGGTGCAGTTAATACTCATTATTCCAGAATCTAGAAGAGTAAAGCTATGATGAGCTGTACAAGGTAATGCCAGAGGCCCTGGTAAATTCCCAAAGTTGCCATGAAGTAGGGTTCTTTCCAGTAAAGTTAAGACTTGGCTTTTCGTTGCTGCTGCTAATTTTCTGGTGTGATGATGTGGCTGCTTGCCCTCCCATGCATGCCAACAGCCAAATAAGCTTTGGCAATGACACGTATTCTAATCAAAGAGGTACATGGAGCCTTTATGGATTAGGGAAAGGAAACAAAATAATACATTTGACAGCCACTCAATATGCCTCATGTAACATGGAGACTTGCCATCTTAACATTCACACATTTGGAACTTAATAAGCATCACTCTGTAAGTTTCTGGCTCCTTGCACTGCAATTAAGTAGTCACTTCTATGTCCAAGAAGTTTCCTCATTCTTTACCCACCCTCCCCTTCAGGAAGCCTTTCCACCATGCATTCCTAAAAGTGACCACCACCACTTCCTTGCAGGAAGATTAAATAAATGAAGGCAGAACTTTTCTCCAGCTGGGGTAAAAAAATGAGGCAACCTGTGCCCCTTCTCACAGAAATCCCAGAAAGTTCACTAGAAGTTACTTCCATGTAAGCGGACACAGGATTGCAGACCAAGTCTCTTATGCTTCTAAGGTGAGTATACTCGTATCTAGGGCTGTATGTGTATACTTAACCCGCACCACACCCCAATAAAACCTTAACCAAATGTAACCCAAACTCTGCAACTTGTATGGATTAAGCAACTTTGTTTGCACCTGCTTAATTTTGCTTCTGCAAAATTGTGAAAGGAAGGAGAGCAACAAGGGAGTGACACACTGTGCTGAATACCCCTCTCCCCACCCTTGAAGTCTTACTAGGCCTTCCACACTCCATTCTGACACCTGCGGCACAAGCCTTCTCAGTAGTGGCGCCCACCCTGTGGAATACCCGCCCATCAGATGTCAAGGAAATAAACAACTATCTGACTTTTAGAAGACATCTGAAGGCAACCCTGTTTAGGGAAGTTTTTAATGTTTTATTGTATTTTTAATATTTTGTTGGAAGTTGCCCAGAGTGGCTGGGGAAACCCAGCCAGATGGGTGGGGTATAAATTATTATTATTATTATTATTGCTACTACTACTACTACTACTACTACTACTATATTATTATTACTATTATTATTATTATTATTACTGAGCATTCAACAAGGCATGGCCCAGTGCCCACATACTTCCAAGCCTACTTTCATATCTGTAAGAGCTAGAAAGTTGCATTTCTATAAAATGAAAAGCCCTACTGGCCAAATTCTACAGAAAGCTCCTAAGAGGTGTTATACTCAGGTAATCACTCCAGAGAGGCTCAGTGTGCATAATATTAAAGTGGATTTCAGGATTTGCAGGCACCACACAGCAGGGTGCATCTTCAGCAGCAGTTCCCACTGTGTTCGCCAGAGGGCTACACACAAAGTGCTCTCACAAAGCATCCTGCTCAGTTTCACCCACGCCATTCCAACCAACTGAATTTACAACTTTCCTGAAATTATAAAATTTTATTTTATTTTTTCAAGTTTTAAGAAAACATTAAAAATACTGACAACTCCCAATGCATTCCCTCCCCCCACAAAATTTGTGCCATGGCCCACACAAAGCTGAAGTTGATCCTGTGGATTCCATGTATCAAGGAAAAGATGTGGGTTATTTAGAGGCTGGCCTTAACTCTGCAGCCGCATGCTCCTGTCACAATTCATTGGTGATAAAGGAAAAAATGAGCAGCAACTGCCAGGACCAGTTGAGGTACCCAGTACTGTGGCTTACAAGCTGTAACAAAGAACAAAGCAGCGCTCATTTGGGTTTTTGCCACTTTTAGTCCGTCTTTTTCTTCCCTGAAGTGCCACCAGAGGCAACAAAAGTGTCACAAGTTGATGGGAGAGAGAAAACAGCCTTCTCAAGAACCTGAGCATAAAATCCAAGCGGGCTCTTAGAGCAGAGATAAAAGTCTGTTAAGAGTGTGAGCAGGCAGCTTCCAAATGTTCATGCAGGAGAGCTGAATTTTGGCAAGGTGACCTCCACAGGGTACGGTTAGTTGACACGGGTTGATTTGATGCTACTTCCAAGCAGATAAGAGAAACAACATTTCAGTCAACAAGCACCCACCTTTGGAGGTTATGAGCAGCACCAGCACTTCAAAAAAGCCCTTTGTTTTGCACACTTGCAAAAATCAGCAGCAGCGTTCTGGCCTAGGTGCAACAGAAACAGTAATGTATGGGCCAACTGCTGCTTGTAATGAAAAGAAAAAAGAATGAAGCCCAGATTAGACTCCGTCTCAAATCATCTCTAGTCCTGCTAAGGTCTTTGTGGTGCACAAAGACATGCTCTGCTGACTTCTAAGCAATGGTGGCTAAGCAAACTTGCCAGGCTGACAGAAATCTGCTAATTTGCTGGCGGGATACACTTTGTTAAAAGAGAAAAAAAAGCTGGTGCAGCAGCCATAAACTGGCAGTGAAGCACTGTAGTATTCTGGGTGAACTCAGGTTATTTCCTCATGAAAAAAGAAGTGTGGGAGAAACGAACAAGGACATCTCAAAAAGGGGAGGGGTGAGGGTGGGGAAGATAAATAGCTTTTGCTTTTCTTTTTTTTTTAAGATAGCTAATGTAAACTTCAACGGCATGATTTTCCCATTCAGACCAACTCTTGCGAGAGTCCTAGAGATCTGGCACATGATCAGAAGTCAGAGATCTGTAGGCCAAAGCTGGCCAGCAGACAAAGATGATCAGATGAACAGAAAGGGTTTGGCAAGCCATTTGCTGACCAAAGGATGTCTTCAGAGAGGAGGGAGAGGTGGCCAAGCAGCTTTAGGGCTCCATCTTGGTACATCCTGCGACCTGAAAATGAATCACAGTTGCAATAAGAGGAGCACAGAGCATGCACACTCATTCCCCATGTGGAGTGGCGGAAGCATAAGCTCAACCACAGACAGATTGCAATGAAAGTGTCAGAAAGTAAAAATACTGATATTAGCAACTGTCATGGGCACACACACACACAAAAACCACTGTTTTCAGTAACTAAATAATGCACTAACCCAGACACACTTATACAGCCTCTCAAAATCATAACCAATTAGTTTTCTAATTCTACTACCACCGCTCCCTGACTGCAATATCCTAGATGTGTATTCAGCTCATATTCCCAAATCTTTCAACATTCAATAAAATATGAACCAGGAAAACAGGAAAATGGCAATTTTGAAGCTGCCTTATACCAATTGTTTGCCTCAGTAATGTCTACACTCACTGGCAGGGGCTTTCCATAGACGGGTCTCTCCCAGCCCTACCTGGAGATTCCAGGGATTGTACCTGAGACCTTCTGCATTTTAAAGCACATGCTCTACCAGTGAGAGAACATGTTGCCAATACATGTTGCAGTCATCACTCAAGTGATCACTAGCTTGGTAAGTATAAGCTTCATTTCAGGTTTTACCCTCTCAAATGACTCTCTGAGGCTTGAGACCTCAAATTAAAGTGGGAGGACAACATAATGTAGATGTTCAGTACAGTATCTCCCTGTGACAAATTGTGGACAACACTGGACATTGAGAGCCTTCAGGAGCCAGATCAGAGATGCGAGCAAAGATCCTGCAAGGGGCATAGGTCAGAGCTGAAGTACAATAAGCAGGAAGAACTGATGGCAAAACAACAGGAAGTCAGCACTCTAGTCTGTTCAGATCACAATTAAAGGAACAGCCGTAAGAAGCAAAGCAGTTATATGATCACCACTGCAACTCACTACAGGGTAATAGCCAGATGAAAAACAGGGGGAGTTATGCATTTTATGATGACA